TGGACGCGCGGGTGGTCGGCTGGGGTCCTGCTCCTGGAGAACATGGCGCGGCCTCCCGGGGGCTCCGGTGCCCTCCTGGGTGAGTCATGGCCTCCGGTGTTGCAGTAAACGAAACCGGGGAGAGGAGGGAACGCAAAATTCCCACAACTGGTTAGATTTCAAGTTGGAAATGATGAGCTTGGCTTGGGTTAAACCTTTCTGGACTGTCAGGGGTCCGAGTTAATTTCTTCAGCTGTTGGGAGTATTTCAATGAAAAAGTTTGGAAATTGCTGGAAGTTAAAAATCTGCCCTCCATCCGAGGCCACCGGTAGCTTGTATGGCTGCTGTGAAGCGGCAGCAATTTTAGATTGTTATGTTCATGCGCCAGGCATCGCGGCGAGCGCTTGGACTTAGCCGCTGAAAAGTTTTAGAAAGTACAGCGTGTAGGCGTGTTTCAGCCCTTTGATTTTCTTGGGCGAAATGTTGCTTTTTTGCTAAAACTGAGGCAAAGGTTGATCTTGAGAGCTTGCAGTTTGGGAGCAGTAAAGTTGAGAAAGGATCATATTCTGTTATTGGTTTATGGGACTGCAGATGAAGCTGCTTTGTTTCCCTAAAAGATACTTTTTGGGGAACAACAATTTGGGAGTAAAGCGGCACGGTAAGAGTGGTCCTCTTCAATACTGAGCTAGTGAATTTGAAACTTGAGTGTGCTAAGGAAAAATAAAAATGATGTTCCCTGGGGATTTTTAGGTGAATTCTTCAAAAACAAAAACCTTCCTACATTTTCACCTTATTTTTAGGGAATTGGGTAAAATGAGGCCGTTATTCTGAACTTCTCGCCCTTTCGTTTTTCTGGATAAAACATTATTAGATTGAAAGTAAGCCTGTTTTTTTCCTGATTAAAAAAATAAACCCTAAATAAGATGCTGACATAACTCCTTTTAAACATTATGGTAAGTGACATGCCTACTGTTATTTCTTCTTGTTAAACCCGTGTGTTTCACATACTGGCATCATTACCAGTAGGTTATGAGTAGAAGATTGAATAAATCTTCAAACTTAATCTTTTAAAGGTATTAACATGTGTATATATATATTTTATTATTTTTAAATTAGGCAGTCTTGAAAGGATGTGAAACTCAGTATGACTGTTTGCGCAAAAGGGCCCGTTGGTTTCTCTTTCAGATTTGTTTTTACGGTTGAGGCTGATTACCTGGACAGAATGTAAACTTCAGCTTGTGAAAGTAAACTCATTTTTTCTGAAAGTATTCTCATTTTCTAATAAATGTGCAGTTTTAAAATACGTCCATTTGATATTATTTTAAAAATATCTTTACTGAGCAAGTGGAGCTAGGATTCTCATGAAATGCTTTTGTTTTGTTTTTGTTTTTTTTTTTTAACTAGAAAAGTGAAAGCAAGTTTATTAAGAAAGTAAAGGAATAAAAGAATGGCTACTCCATAGACAGAGTAGCGATGAAATACTTTTGAAAAGCCTGGAGTTTCTAGAATTTCATTTCCTAGAATTACGTACTCCTCTTAACTCCCCAATTTCAGAGGTAGAATCCTGGAAAACTACATATTACTTTAGAAATAGCTTTTCCCTGTTTCTAAAGTGGGAGGAAAAGCTGGTGTATTTATTGAGCGGACCATGACCTTTTCTACAAACAGATATTTGAACGTACATTGTACTAGATACTGGTTTAAAAAGCAGCCTTTTGCTGTGACAGATGACCCATAAACACATAGTTCTTTTGAGGTGTTTTTCCTTTTTCTGCCAAAGTTGGGGTAGTGTTTTTGTGCGCGGATGGCAGATTTTCAACATTTTGTTTATCAAAGCATTTTGAAAACAGAAGCAGGGCCACCTGTTTTCTAACAAACAGGAATAGCTTCTATTTCAGTAATTTTAATTTCTCTACCAAGGACACTTAGAAAAAATATATTTACGAGTGAAATAAAAACATGAATTATTTGGAGCACTTTTCAAAATGCAGCATTGTGAGAATAAACAATATAATTGTTAAAGGAGTTCATCTTTTGTTAACGTCTCAAAAAAATAATGAAATTAGTATTGCTGAGTGTAAATGTTTTTAAAAATGTTTTATAATGTTTTGTTAGTTATTCCTCACCACTGTGTGATGAAAAACATTTTATTCTTCTAATGTCAAATAATCTGCGATGCAGAAAGAATGGGAGTTTGTTGCTTCAGGCTTATTTGAATTCTGAGCTTGTTTAGCAGTGAGCTTTTGGGTTTGTGCTGTGTTCCACTAAAAGGCCTCATAACTGACGATCAGTAGAAGGGTGAATTTAGCTTGTCATCATCAGTAAGAGAGATGAATTTATACTCAGTCATATACACGCACTCCCCTAACCTTTTGTGATTATGAATATATGGATCTGTTTTTTTGGGACCACTGTGAGTAAACTGTCCTGTAAGGATATTGAATAGACATCCTTGATTTCACATTCATCTTGATCTTCCCAACTAATGTTTGGTGGTTGCATTTATTTCACAAATACTTTATTTGCCAGTGTTGAAGATACGGTTTGAACTGTTCAGACAAGATCCCTGATCTTATGAAACTGAAGTTCTAGTGGCAGGGGTAGGGTAGACAGATAATAGATAAGTATATACGACGTTTTCAAGTAGAACATAGCAGAATAGAGAGTGCTGGAGTCTGAATGAAAGGCATCTCTAAAGAGGTGACATTTGGGCTGAGACTGGAATGATGAGGAGTCAGTCATTTGAAGATCTGGAAGAGCAAATGCAGAGGCCTGAAGGCTGCAATAAAGTTGATCTACTTTTTGGAACTGATGGAAAGCTCATGTGAATAGAGAACAGTGAGAGAGGACGGATGGCATAGGATGCAGTAGGAGAAATGGGAAGAGGTCAAACGTTGAGCTTTGGAAGTTATGTTAAGGATTCCAAATAGAAGCTATTAGAAGATTTTAAGTGAAGGAATGATGTGATCTAATTTGTATTTTAAAGGTATTTCATTGAATCTTACATGCTGTCACTTGGAAGACACATTGTTTTATGTAACAGCAGGGGAAAAATGCTGTCAGTTGGTATGTGATTGATTCTAGGAAGCATCTTAATTTCAAAGATGTCAAAATACAAAAAAGTACATCTTAGAATTGAGGAAAGCATGGATTAATGATAGAGAATTACTGTATCCTGTCCCCCAGGTGGAGAGTTTTGGCCATTAGAAATCTATAGATTAGGCATTCATTGATAAATAATTTTGATAATTTTTTCAAAACTTTAAGCTTGGTAGGGTCATTTGTGCCTATAGTCCTAGCTCCTCTGGAGGCTGAGGTGAGAGCATTGCTTGAGCCCAAGAATTTGAGGCTGCCATGAGCTGTGATTGTGCCACTGTGCCACTGCACTCCAGCCTGGGCAACAGAGTGAGACCCTGTCTCTAAAAAACAAACAAAAACAAAAATGTAACTGGACATGGTGACTTATGCCTGTAATCCCAGCAACTCAGGAGGCTGAGGCAGGAGGCTTGCCTGAGGCCAGGAGCTTGAGACCAGCCTGGACAACATAGTGAGACCTTGTCTCTTCATGACTTAGTTCTTCTAGGGTCATACTGTGTGCTTATGTATGCTTCAGATGTGCTGTTGAAGGTAACAGAAGTAGGTAGCTCTTACTGTGCTTATCCATCTTTCTTGGCAGTTCTGATACCCGATTTACAATTACATTGAACTACAAGGATGCCCTCACTGGAGATGAAGAGACCTTGGCTTCCTATGGGATTGTTTCTGGGGACTTGATATGTTTGATTCTTCAAGATGACATTCCAGCGCCTAATTTACCTTCATCCACAGATTCAGAGCATTCTTCACTCCAGAATAATGACCAACCCTCTTTGGCCACCAGCTCCAATCAGACTAGCATACAGGATGAACAACCGAGTGATTCATTCCAAGGACAGGCAGCCCAGTCTGATGTTTGGAATGACGACAGTACGGTGGGTATTAAAGACCAATATATCAAATAGAGTAGGTGATAAGTCATATTGAACACCTCAGTTGAATTCTGTTCCAGTCAGGATAATTATCATCAATAGATTGCATATTATTTTTCATATATATATATATATATATAATTTTTTTTTTTGAGACGGAGTTTTGCTCTGTCACCAGGCTGCAGTGCAGTGGCACAGTCTCGGCTCACTGCAACCTCTGCCTCCCAGTTCAAGCGATTCTCCTGCCTCAGCCTCCCAAGTAGCTGGGCGTAGAGATGCACGCCACCACTCCCAGCTAGTTTTTGTATTTTTAGTAGAAACGAGGTTTCAGCATGTTGGTGTGGATGGTCTTGATCTCTTGACCTCGTGATCCTCCTGCCTCAACCTCCCAAAGTGCTGGGATTACAGGCATGAGCCACCGCGCCTGGCTGCAGATTATATTTTTATAGAATATATTTTTTTAACTGCTAAATGCCTATACCAATATGGGGCTGGCATCCCAAAGTACCTAGTTTCTGCCTGTTTTGTTCACATACTGTCCTTCAGATGAATTATCCCTTACTGTTCCTAAGCTCGTGATTCCTAGCCTTGCTTCTCTGATCTGGTCTACTCATTAAGGCTATGGATGTGGTCCAATTATTTCCAAATGACTTGCAGGATATTTATACTTGCATTTTTAAATTGTCATTGCAGACTTTATATGTTCAACATAAATTTGGAAATATGTGTGCTCATGTTCCCTTCTTTGTCAGTGGCACTGCTGGTTTTCTGTGATTTTTGACTGCTTAAATCTAGCCCATTAATAAGCTTTGTCAGTTTTTCTTTTCCATTTCGGGTTCCAATGGCTTTATTCCTCAGTCTGTTTTCTGGGTTTGCCTTCTTCCTACATGGTTCTGATGCTATTGTTCCCTTGCTGTCTTTCATTAACTCTTTCTCATCAACTTGTGCTCATAATTTTTTAGCTGAAAAATACCATGTGTCTCTAGTTCAACCCTGTCATTTTACAGAAGGGGAGAATGACGTCTGTCCTCCTGTACCTGGTGCTCAAGGCTTTCTGGAAAGTTACTCCAGTCAACTTTTTTAGGGGTAGTTTCTGTTCTTCCCCCCTTTAAACTGTCATCTCCAATCAGAACAGACCATCATTTCCCCCCACCCCCACCAGCCAGCACATGCACCTGCTTGCATGCATGTGCATACACACAACCTAGTGACTGCTTTTGTGACTTTGCTCTTACTGTTCATCCAGACTGGAACCTGTTACCTTTCCTCCCTCTCTTGTCTGTATTTTCTACCCATCTTCCTAAGCCCTTGCCAACCATAGCCCGGTAGTTTTCTTTAATTTCTTTGTATTGATTATCTGATTATCTTTATTGCCTTGTACATGCCTCATCATTTTTCCCACTTTTTTTGTGTGTGTGTGTGTGACAGTGTACCACTCTCTCACCCAGGCTGGAGTATAGGGCACAATCTCAGCTCACTGCAACCTTACCCTTCTGGGGTCAAGCGATTCTCCCACCTCAGCCTCCCGAGTAGTTGGGACCACAGACACCACCACGCCTGGCTATTTTTTGTGTTTTTGGTAGAGATGGGGTTTCACCATGTTGCTCAGGCTGGTCTTGAACTCCTGACCTCAAGTGACCTGCCTACCTTGGCCACCCAAAGTAATGGGATTACAGACATGAGTCACCATGCCCAGCCTTTATCCGACCTTTTAATTTTTTGAATGGTGCAAATGATCACCTTTATTTTTTTAATACCAATACACATGCCATCTTGTTAACTGTTTTTTGTATGTACACTTATCACCTCAACTTAATTGCTGGCCTTAAACATTTTTGAGTATAAGTATTCATGGTAACTTGTCATGGCATTAAGTATAGACATATTAAAAAATATTTTTTAATAGATTGGTAAGTTGTGAAAATTATGTCCAGATATGTGGATTTCAATTTATTTTTAAAATTATTGTTGTATCAGTGTGTTTCTACCTCACAGAGGTAAACTGGGGAATGAGTAAGAATATTTTGCTGTATATTTAAATTATGTTTCTGAGTCTTTTTTGCTGATAGGCTTGTTCTGGGATAACTTAGTAGGGCCCATTACTTTTACTTCTGTGTACTTTAAAATTGTCTAGTAAGATGAAACTTTTCATAGTATTTGTGATAGTTGGCTAGTTTCCTTTTGGAAAATTTTGAGAAATTAATGTTGCTTGAAGTTACTAATTTCAGTTCTAAGATTTTGCATATTGTTTTGTATTCCAAGACTTGTAAAGGGTGACAGGAAAACCTTAAGAGTATGGAAACTGAGCTCGAGATCTCATAAATAATGCTTTTAAGTACATTACACTCTGTAATATAGAATGGAGAATTAGAAAAGGAAAATAGATGCGTAAAACTTGAAACCATAGGAGGTCAATTTTACTCTTGTAATTAAATATCAATTTTCTTATTTCATCATATTTGGGAATTCATCCAGTACCTCTTAAGTCTTGAATGAGAAATGGGTAGCAGGTATCAGAATCTAGTATTAGCTCTCATGCATCTTAGTCACTTGTTTTAGTCTTTTGTAAATGACATATGGCAAAATGATCTGTTCAGAGAGGTGTGGTGCTCACCATTTTTTTTTCATTTTCACACATGTGAAGAATTTGATAAATACTCATATCAGAATAGCTCAGAGAATGTCAGTAGTTCCCATAGAGTAGGAGTAAGGTTTGACAAGCCCAGCAGGGGATTTTGATATCTCCCTCTCGTGTACTTCAGCCTAGGGTAACTCTCTTTCATTTTTCCACATATATTCTGTCCCACACAACTGCCAATAAGTAGTAAATGGCCAAAAGTTAGACATAGTGGTAAAGAAGCAAAACCTATTGTTCCATAGTTTAGCTTGATGTTAAGTGGTTTTTAATATAGTTGTTTCTGTTTTCTCAGGAAATACGGAAATATTTTTGTGCCATACCTCATTTTTGGGTAGTGTGACTTCTCATTGGCCTCTAGGTTTTTACAAGTGACTTTGGATCTTTTCCATAAGTCACAGGTCTTGGGTCCTCAGAGATTTTGGAAGAACAGCTGTCACCTCTGGCTCCCTTACATTCCTCCAACCTTTTACATATACTGTGTAATTTTAATTTCCTTTGCCCCTTCTTTAATGGAAATGCAAACCCTAAAAAGAAGAAACTTATGCTTTGCATTAAGAGTTGGGCGTATGCCTAGGAAACAAGCTTTCTGAGCAAACTTAATATAGGTAACTTAGTTTTTTTTTTTCATCTCAAAGTCCTGAGCTGCAAGTTTGGAGATCTGGGTTCGTTTCAAATTTTTATTAGTTGGTAACCTTGATTATGTTATTTAATCTTTCAGATTTATAATTACAGGATCTGTAAAAAGACAATACCTGCCATGCCTGTTTTACAGGATTGTTGTAAGGTACAAATAAGAAAACATTTTGAAAATAAAGACATTATGAAGTTGTAAGGTATTATGCTTCAGCATTTGTTCAGCAGACATTGAATACCTGCTTTGTGCTAGGTACTTTACTGGGGTTACAAAAATGGGTGACATGTAGTTTGTTTTTTTATAAGCTTGTAGTCATGGAAGGATGCAGATATGTAATCAGAAAATTGCAGTACAGTGCGGTGTGATAAGGTTAAATAATCAAGGCCGTTGTAAGGCAGAGTTGTGCTCTGTGTTACCTCTTTTGAAGAAGTGGAGAATATTAGGGTGAGTAAGAAGGCACTGGCAGAAAGTGAACTTGGTAATGAGTCAGAGATCAGGTGATGAAGGACTCTGTATGCGAAGGGATTTAGAAGTTTGGGCTTCATTTGTAGGCCTGCATTTCTCAGTGTCCTCTGAAAATCTAGTTTCGTGAGATGGTGTTACAGGGATGCTGACTGTTGAAGACGGAGTTTTTTGGTAAAGTGTTATGCACACACTATTATTATTGTTATTAGACTCCTCCGTGCTTTTGTAATGCAAATACAGTATTTTGTGAATATGGAGGGTGAAGTTAGGTGGCTGCAGCATGTAGCATTTTCCACACTTATTCCATGTGGACCACCTTTTTTCCTAAGAACATCTAAGGCACAATTGAGGGAAATGCTGTTGTCTGCGTTGGGGAGGTACTGGTGAATTTTAAGCTGGGACATAGTACATGATCGGATTTTTAATTGTCAAAACTCTGGCAGCAGGGGATGGGATGTATTGGAAGACAAGAAAGTTGAAGAAGGTGTACTTGCAAGGGAAGCTCTTGTTGGATGTCAGGAAATACATGATGAGAATCTAAAGTACCAATGGAGCAGGAAGGGGCAACTTTTAGACATGTTTAGGAGTTAGTTTCAGTGGAACTTTGAAGACTGATCAGATTTGGGACAAGGTTTAGTTAGGTAGAGGGAGGAGTCTAGGATGATTTCCAGGTTTTTGACATATCGGCTAGAATTAACAGGTGAGGAATTGAGGATGGAAGAGTAGGTCGCAGGCTTATTTATTTATAAGGACTCACTTAAAATGTCTCCCATTTCTGAACCCAGTGATGTACTTTGACTTTCAGCACTTAGTTCACGTTAGGATACAAAAAATGTATTGTGTAAAAATAAGTCTTTTTAATTAATTCATTGTTTTGTTTTCCTTTTTCAGTTAGGGTCTAGTCAAAATTTTGAAGCTGAGTCAATTCAAGATATTGAGGATATGGCAGAGGGCACAGGTTTCTATCCCTCAGAACCCATGCTCTGTAGTGAATCGGTGGAAGGGCAAGTGCCACATTCATTAGAGACCTTGTATCAATCAGCTGACTGTTCTGATGCCAATGATGCCTTGATAGTGTTGATACATCTTCTCATGTTGGAGTCAGGTTACATGCCTCAGGTAAGTACTGCAAGCAAAACACAAACATCTTATAATTGCTCATACATGTGAATGGTTCCTGCTGTCAAGTTGCCCATAGTCTGAGAGTGGCAGAGATAGACAGAAATATAAAGCACTGTGCTATATTGGTGAAGTTCTGGGAGAGACATATTCATATATAGGATGCCAGGAATTCATGGAGGAGAACATTTAGAATATTGCTTCTCAAACTTTAATGTGCTTTGGAATCCCTGGGGACCTTATTAAAATGCAGATTCTGATTTAGTAACTGTAGAATGGACCGTGTACTTCTTCATACTCCTGCATAATACCAGTGTTGCTGGTCTGAGAGCCATGTTATAAGTTGCAAAGATATAGAGTAATTCGGTGATCAGTGCACACCTGCAGCATGCCATGCACTGACCCAGAAATTAGGATATGAAAACATTGGGATATTTCCTGTCCTCAAGGAGTCCATACATAAATAGAGGAGAGAGACAAATGAAAAGATAATCAGAAATAACACAAGTAAACATAGATAATAATACAGTTGAAGTGTAACGGAAATATGAATAGACTGTTAGGGGACGAAAGGAAATGGCAAACAATTTTTCTTTGAAAAAGGCTTTACAGAGGAAGTGATATTTGATTATTTTGGAGTTTTAAATAATCATATGGTTTTGCTAGGCAGAGAAGTGAGTCTTTGAAGAGAGAGATCAATCCCTGTTTCCATGATGCAATTTTACCTGTTTGAACAAAAATTTTGATTAAAAGTGTTGTAATATATTATCCTACAATATAAAATATAATGGCAATATTAATGATTTGATGCATTGTACTAAGAGGACTATGTGGAATGATTATTTCAAACAAGTTAGGAGTCTTTTGGATTTTTAATCTTTTTGAGAGTAACACCTTTCTTCATTATTTGTTTCCCTTTCATTTCGTTCCCCAGGGCACCGAAGCCAAAGCACTGTCCATGCCGGAGAAGTGGAAGTTGAGCGGGGTGTATAAGCTGCAGTACATGCATCCTCTCTGCGAGGGCAGCTCCGCTACTCTCACCTGTGTGCCTCTGGGAAACCTGATTGTTGTAAATGGTAATTGAATAGCATAGTCATGGTTGCTCGTTTATGGATTCTTAGACGTTTCTTTCCAAATGTTTTATAGCCACTTCAGTGATTGGCTATCATGATACAGTTGTGAGTCCTTCTCAACTTTATTGAATTCCTAGACCACTGATAACATGTGTCTGGAAGATTATAGAGTAAGAGGTTGTTGGGTTGTTTAGGCCAGCACCCTTCACTCTTAGGGCATCCATTTTCTTGATGTCTTAATCTTTGTAATATTTTGCTCTGGGGGGTAATATTTAATATTATCCAATATTATCAATATTTGATAATATGAGTGAAATGAGCCTATTATACATGAACTCTTTGGAGAATACTTTTTCTTTATGCCTGTGGATGGCTTTATTTTTTTAACGAAGGTCTTGAACTGAGACATGGGGAACTAGAGCTGGGGTCACCATTTATCCAAGTTCGCATCTCTGTGGCCAGCAGTGAACAACAACAATGCTAAGTTTACTGAGGCCTTAGTAAGTGTGTGTTTTATTTACTGGGCCTCCCCCAACAAATGTCACTCTGCATAAATAACTTTTCCTGTCTCCTTTTTCATATTAATACATTTCACTGGAATAGCAAGGCATTCCATCTTTGTGTTTTAGTTCAGATACCACTTTGGTTCATATCAACTCCTAGTAGTCTATCATAATCACACATCCTGGAGATCCATTTGAATGACTAGGAGCTTTCATTTTTATTCTGTTTTGTTTTTTGAGGTTTATCCTTTTAGTTAGAAAGATAGTGTGGCAAGATTGGGAGGGCTGCATTTGTTGTTTTGTTTATTCAGTATAGCTCATCTTTTTTGTTTAGCAAAGGAAGTTGCTTTGGTAAGCCTTAGGTCAAAGGTTTAGGTCAGGTTTTCAGTATGTTCTGCAGCTGCTCCTTTGCCTAGATGAAAGTTAGGTAGAAGCCTTATCACCACTTAAAGCAGCGAAATGTTTATCTGTTTCATTTATTGAAGTTTTGTGTGAGATTCTGTTTGAAAAAAATGGTGGTTGTTTTTTTTTTCCTGCTAAAATCTATTTTGAAAGCTACTGACTTATGCTGTCTTGATCTTTGAGATCCCCTCTTACGAAGTTTCTTTTTCTTTTTCTTTTTTTTTTTTTTTGAGACAAGGTCTTGCTCTGTCACCTAGGCTGGAGTGCAGTAGCCAGAGCATGGATCATTGCATCCTTGACCTCCTGGGCTCAAGCGGTGTTCCTCCTTGGCCTCCTGAGTAGCTAGGACCACAGGCGTGTACCACCACACCTGGCTATTTTTTATTTTATATTCTGTAGAGATGAAGTCTCACTGTGTTGCCCAGCCTGGTCTTGAACTCCTGGGTTCAAGCAGTATTCCTGCCTTGACCTCCCAAAGGGCTGGGATTACAGGTGTGAACCACGCCTGGCCTCTTAAGAAATTTCTATTTCTTTAGTCATAAGATTCTTTGAAATGTTATTTAAAAGTCTCAAAATGTTAGGTTTAATAGCTTTGGTGGTACTTCACATTTGTCAGGACATGACTGTCTGATGACACTAGGACCTAGCAATGTCTATTCAGCAGTTCATCATAATTAGCAAATGTAGCTTTTAGTCTGGCATTCTTGTACACAGTTTCTGCCTTCATCTCATCATTCTGCTACATCACATCATAACTTGCAAGGTTGAAGTTACCAAATAGTAAATGTGTAGTTGCAAATTTTGCCTTGATTTCTTATAAAAGCACTTAATGACATGTATAATAACCTCTATTCATTAGATTCAGAATACTTAATATAAAAAGAATAACTACTGAATGTCTTGATGATTTCTTAATTTCTCATACTTTGTTTCTTTACTGTTCTTGGCAAATCAGCTCTTGGCAGACTTGCATGGCAGCCAGCCATTCCAGGATTGATTATTTGAAAAGAGCAGTGTGTCTTTAAATCTTTCCTTCACTCCAGGCATCCTGCTTGGTGCACATGTGCATAAGCACATCACTGGGCTCTTTCATGGAGTGAGTTGAAGTGCGCCTTTGTATACATGATTAAAATTGAACCCTCTGGTGATGTCAAGAATATTGGTCCTTTGGGTCTGGAAGAGAGATGATGCTCTGAAAACTAGCAAGATTATTTTAATGAACAAGGGAAGACTCATTGCCAAGGGTTAAATAAAAGATAAATGGAGTTTTTAGTGACTTCATTAGAAATAATGATTTTATTGTGTTTAGTTGCCTCTGATTAGCCTTGTTGCGTATCTTTCAATTACTAATAAGCTGCTGCCTAGTAGATTTTATATAAAGATGCTTACTGTAGTTTGTAAAGGTGGTGTTGTAGAGTGATTTTACTTCATGTGATGCCAGGTTTACACTTTTGAACTTGCTATCAGAGAAAGAAATAGGCGAAGAACAGTTTGTTTTATATAATGTGTCCTTAGTATATTAGGAGCAAGGAAATGCAAGCCCATACTAAAAAAGAAAGGCAGTTGATGAAGTGACAGAATTTTTTATCATCTTTCTTTTGTTTATTTACAGCTACACTGAAAATCAACAATGAGATTAGAAGTGTGAAAAGATTGCAGCTGCTACCAGAATCTTTTATTTGCAAAGAGAAACTAGGTAATATAAACATTATTTAACTTTTGGAGTGAAACTGTGAAATTCGTGTAAGAAAAAAATCTGAAAGATAATGTTCAAAAGACAGAAAATTTCTATATGAGATTAAAGCATATTGAAGATAATGTGGTTTGCTTAAGAATGCAAAGGTTTAAAAAATGCGAAAGTTTTGCTTATAATTTGAGGAGTTTGTTTCTTTCCTGTTTTTCTTAGGGTCATAGAGTGCTGAATTATATTGTTATGAGATAACACTAGTATATAATTTATTACACTCTGATGATAGTTCATAGTTTCTGTACTAATCTTTGGAGATCTCTCTGGTATCATATTTAACCAATATAGAGATCTGTGTTTCATGGAAGTAATTCAAGTTCATTATTAAAGATTATTGGAGGAAAAACTGCAATCAAAATCTTTGTTTAAACCTACATAAATTTGATTGCTGTTTTATACAGATTGATACTTTACCAAAAGTTCGCATTCTAGATAAGGTTTTGCCTAAACTCTCTAAAATTATTAATAGATGCAAAGAAGACAGATTTTCCTTTTTATCATTTTTCAGTTAAACCAAACTGTGAGAGGCAGTTACAGGTGGTTGGAGGAGAAGAGATAAGGTGGAGAGGGGAACTGACATTTTTTAAGTGCCTGTTTCATTCTGCACTTGTGTCCGTACATATGTTATTCCATTTAGTCTTCTTAGTAAACTTAGGAGGATTTTAAGAGCCTAGTGGGAATGTTGTGGTACAGTGGGAAGATGGCATTTATAGCAGTCCTTTAGGAAAGGCTGGCTAGATTGACATTGTTGCTTTGAAGGTCTAAAGACTTATTCTTGCTCATTCCTAGGGGAGATCAGCCCTGAGAGATTGATTTATACTAACTAAAACTGATGGGAAAAGGAGACAGCAGAATACATATTTATAATGGTCTCTGGTTGGACGTAGAATCAGAACTTGGGCATTAGGTGAATTGAGCTTTTTTTTTTTTTGAGACGCAGTCTCGCTCTGTCGCCAAGCTGGAGTGCAGTGGTGCTATCTTGGCTCACTGCAACCTCCACCTCCCGAGTTCAAGCAATTCTTCTGCCTCAGCCTCCCGAGTAGCTGGGACTACAGGCACACACCACCACGCTCGCTAATTTTTCTGTATTTTTAGTAGAGACAGGATATCACCATATTGACCAGGCTAGTCTCGAACTCCTGACCTCGTGAAATTTTTTTTGTATTTTTAGTAGAGACAGGCTATCACCATATTGGCCAGGCTGGTCTCGAACTCCTGACCTTGTGATCTGCCCGCCTCGGCCTCCCAAAGTGCTGGGATTACAGGCGTGAGCCACCGCGCCTGGCCAAGTTGAATGTTTAATGGCAGACTAGGCCAGAGTTTCTCAGTCTTTTTATTATCACTTCCCAAAGGAGCCTTCAGAGATTTTTCCCCTCGATCTCTCTCCTTCATGAAATTTAATACCACAAATATATTTTATTTATGTACTGTGACCCTTTGAAGGATCACAAACCAATATAATAGTTTTTAACCTGTCAAGGACCAGATTTTGCCCCTGTTGAAACTGCATAAACTGGACTGATGAATCTGTATAGATGGCTTTTATCATTAGGGTCAGAAAAACTTGAAATTCCTTGGCTACGACACTCCGTATTGATCACCGTATAGGGAGGACCTTGTTATGGAGAGTAGAAATACTCTACACTCTTATGCCCATTTTCTAGATCAGGAAACAGATCTAGAGGAAGCTAAGTTACGTAAGGGTCACAGAGCTAATCAATGGTGAAATACAGGATTGGAATAGATTTGGCTGACTCCCAGCCTTTTAAAACAACTTTTACAGGAATGTAGCTCAGATTGCTATTCTTTTTCTGCTTTTTCTTAAATAAGGAAAAAGGAAATGGAAGGGAGGAAGAATGTTAAATACTGTTAAATTACAACTTTATGGACTGTTATAATGAAGTATTTTTAATAAAGTCTTTTACGTTGAGTAGGAATATGCTGCTCATTTGGCAAGTCATTTTAATGAATTTTTACTGTGGCTGATAGCACCTAGTAACTACAACTAGGCACTGTTATTTATCCTTTTATTCATAAGTTTCTAATTAAATAGTTATATACCAGGTTGCTGAAGGAAAAAATTCATTTAAAGAAAATCAGTTTTCACATTTGAAAAAAGCCCTTGAGCCAAATTGATTTTTAAAAATTATACCTTGACAGCAAATTTCAGTTCAAGATTGCAAGTCACAGAACAAAGATGTAGACATTAGCTGCGTGTCTCTTTCCTTCTTCTTATCGATCCCGTTATACTGAGTGTTTTATTTGTTATAGATAGTGAAATACATAAATATGGAATGGGAAAGGAGCAAGCATAAATTGTCTACTGATACACTAGGCACTGCTCGTGGAGCTCTCAATTGTAACAACCTTATCGGGTATAGTGGTGGCGTCTCCCTTAAACAGTTGAGCAAAAAGGTGAGGATCAGAGGGGCAGGTTATTTGTCCAAGGCTATACACTTGGTAAATAGCAAAACAAGTGGGAACCTCAGCTGCAATTTGGTAGTGCGTCCATACTTTAATATGAGTCACATGGGGATCTTATCAAACTACAGGTTCTGATTTGGTAGGTCTGCAGCGGGCCTGAGATTCAGTACTTCTAAACAGTTCCAGGTATTGTCAATTCTGGTGATCTGTCGCCCACATTTTGAGTAGCAGTGTGGTGGCTAAAAATGAGTGCTTTTGAGCCACACGGACTTGGGTTTGTGCACTGTTCTGCCACTAACCATGGAGCCTTGGACAGGCTTTCTGTACCTTGACCTGTTTTTAAAATGGCGATAGTAATTACTTAGGAAAGAACTTCTGATGTGAAAGTTTGAAAAATGCTTGACACAGGTGCTGATACATAGTCATCGTGTGATAAATGCTATTAATTTACCAGGTTCTAAGCGTTACAGGAGCAGGTCTCCACTGTATCCTCAGTGCCCAGCACAGATTGATAGCTATTCAGGAAATCTTCCTGTATATGAATCTCACACGAGCTTTTTCTACAATTGCAGCCTATGAGCTAGAGAGGTTGGGCACAACTCTACTAATTTGATAGCATGGAATTTTTAGCTTTTATATCTAAGATTCAGTTTTATCAAGTCTTGCACTGTACTTCTTCCATGAAGGAATTTGGTTCATGCTTATCTTTGTGAATTATTTGTGAATATTTATTTGCCATGTTGATTGTGTTTGGCAGAAATAGAGGACAGTTTTTCCACTTGATTTTGGGTTTTGATTTTTCATTAAAAAATATTCTAGGGGAACATGTAGCCAAGATATACAAAGATCTTCAGAAACTCTCTCGTCTCTTTAAAGACCAGCTGGTGTACCCTCTTCTGGCTTTTACCCGACAAGGTAAGAGATGAAATACTGTCTCAGTTCAAGGGACTGTAAAGCATATAAGTATACTTAGTATTCTTGGTGGATATGACATCTGACTGCCCTCTTTTCTGCTCCTAGCTAAATGTTCCTCTTTTAAGACTAAGCTTAATATTCCTTAAGTGCTATTTACTTGCTCTTTGTATCTCCATGCTATTTTGTACATATTTTTATTATAGACTCTTTTCCATGGACTATAATTGTTGATATGATTTCTTTCCACCTAAGGTTGGGAATATCTCGAAGGTAGGGAATATATCTTACGTTTGTATTCTTGTGGTCTAGCATGGGGTCAGGTACATAATAGATGCTCTTTCTCTCTATACACACATATATTTATATTCTGGGCTTTTGCCCAGAAATTATATGTCACTTCCACTCACATTTTATTGGAAAAATAAGACAAAAATGGCCAAGCCTGATGGTAGTGGGGTGGGGAAGTATAATTATGTGTAGGAAGTGATTGAGAACCACAATATTTATATATATATGAGAACCACATATATTTATTTATATGTGTGTATATATATGTGTGTGTGTGTATATATATACACACACGCATATAAATAATATATGGTCTGTAATTGGATCTGAGTTTTTTTTTTAAACCATTTATTGGAGGCTCTATGCAGGCACTTTGTTGGATATTTCACATGCACTCTTATTTACTGGTAATGACTTTGAAGTAAATTTTATGGTACTTATTTTATACATGATGAAATCATAATTCAATAAGGTTTATAATTCACTCAAGATCCTTATATTAGCTTTCTCTTATTATTTTTTTTTGCAGTTAAAAAAATTTTAAATCTCAGTGACTTACAGTGAAATTTACTTCTCGCTCGTGTACATGTTGTGTGTGGGTTTGCTTTGGCTGAAGGAGTTGTCTTTATCTAGGACATGCTCCTCTTGTGGTGTGCCAGTGGCCCAATTATGTGTTGGTTCAACGCTTTTGCCCAGAAATTATATATGTCACTTCCACTCACATTTTATTGAAAAAATAAGACAAAAATGGCCAAGCCTAATGGTAGTGGGGTGGGGAAGTATAATTATGTGTAGGAAGTGATTGAGAACCACAATACAATCTACCACAATTCTCCAACTAGTAGGTAGTTTCTGACTTATGTGAACAGATAGTGGCTTTTATTTGCTCTCTGTGTGTAGAGAAGTAAGTAACATTTTTGGTGTCAAGTTGAATGGTGGCATGTCTATTATAACAGTAGTCTTCTCTGTAGTTAGTGATGAGGGAAAGGAAGTAATGTCAATTGAAAAACACATATAGATATGTCTTTGTTGGATTTTGATTATTTTTGCTAGTGGAGAATAGTATCACAAATATTTTGAAGGTGCTGATAACCAAAACATAATTTTCACTGAACTTGGAACATATTATTTTTCTTTTCCTTTCTTGGCTTTGTTTCCGAATTTATCTATCTCTTTTTAGCCTGCTAGACTTCAGGTAATAGTAGTTTGCTAACACTTGAGTGCTTATGCTTGGTGTGCCAAACATTGTTCTAAGCACTTAATACGTATTAATACGTTTACTTGTCACAACAATTCATTGAAGTCGGTGGGATGTAATATTAATCCATTTTACAGATGAAATTAAGTTAGAGTTTAAATAACTTGTCCAAAGGCACACAGTTAATAACTGGCAGGGAATCAGATATAAAAGCCAAGAATTACTCATTTTCTGTAGTTGAATAAAGAAATATTGTTGTATTGAATAATGTTTGAGACAGAAGAGGCCATTGGCTAGAATTTAGCAATTGTTATAGTTATTTGATTTATATTAAAAAGCATTTGTCTTTCTACTAAAACATCAAGGGAGTAAGGGCCTAGAGTTGCATGAGTTAGTAGTAATTATAGTCAAGCTGGGGTTAAAAATTCGTTGTAGATGATGCATACTTGGGAATAATTAAGAGTACCATCTAATTTTTTGCCACTTTAGAAAGGAACAGGTGGCAACTGTGTTGACTGTGTGGAGAAAGCCAGATGTTCTTTACTCAGTAATACTTGTTACTTCTCTTTTTTTCCTTTTAGCACTGAGCCTACCAGATGTATTTGGGTTGGTCGTCCTCCCCTTGGAACTGAAACTACGGATCTTCCGACTTCTGGATGTTCGTTCCGTCTTGTCTTTGTCTGCAGTTTGTCGTGACCTCTTTACTGCTTCAAATGACCCGCTTCTGTGGAGGTTTTTGTATCTGCGTGATTTTCGAGGTGATTTCCATAATGACATATTCACAAAAAAAGGCTCTTTCTTATTGTCTTAATTACTCAGCTCACCAAAAGATTTTAGTTGTAGGATTTTTCTGTTGCAAATAATTTTAATGGCCTTAAAGAGACTGATTCTAAGCTTCATATACCTTTGCCTGTGTCCCTAAAACCCTCTCATTTTTGTATTTTGCACAACACAAATCGCTCATTAGTGTAAGAAGATTATTTCAGGATAGAAAAATGAAAGTAAGACAGGCTTATTTTCTCGCTAGAGACAATAGTCAGCATCTGACTTAGAAATGAGCTGGCATTTCTGAACTGCTTTCATGGTTGAGACCAGTGTGTAAGTTAAGAGTTTTGTTGACCTGTTCCATGTTGCCAGGGCAGCTTTATTTCTGTATGGTCACATTATGGTGACCTGGTAATTATTGTGGCACTGATGATGGTCGAACTTGTGCATCAGGATTTCCTGCTACAAGGCCAAAAACCTGATTGTGGAACTTTTTTCTGCTGCCACCATTTTACTACATATTGGTGTTTTCAGATTGTTTGACCCTGGGGTGGGTCATGAAATCCATTTAATGGGTCGTGTTACAAAAAAACCCACAATGGAAAAATCCATATTTGTTTTATAAGTAGCATTCCTATTTATGTTTTTTTCTTTTAAAATTTCAAAATGTAAGAAGTGAAAATGACCTGGTTTGTTCCTTTTCCTCTTCTTTGATTCCTGAGGTCCTCTTTTTGCTTTTTTTATGTCCCTGAATTTGACATTTAAAATGTTATTTTGTCTCAATTGGCAGCAAGAAAGCATCATCTCAAAAAATAATTCATTTTATTTTATTTTATTTTATTTTTTTGAGACAGGGTCTAGTTGTGTTGCCCTGGAGTGCAGTGGCGCAATCATCGCTCACTGCCACCTCCAACTCCTGGGCTCAAGTGATCCTCCCTCCTCAGCCTCATAAGTAGCTGAGACTATAGGCATGCGCCCCCATACCTGGCCAACTTTTTTGTTTGTTTATTTTTAGTGGAGACAAAGTCTTGCAGTGTTGCCTAGGCTGGTCTCCAACTCAAAAAAGAATTAAAAATATAGTAAAAAAGAAAAGGCAGAATGACTGATGTATATGGAAGCACTGAGAAAAAGCAGGGTATGATATAAATACTCATAAAAGGAACAAATATCCTTTCACTTGTATATTCAAGTTTAGGATTAAAGCACAATTATTCTTTAATTTTTAGATTGTGGCCCACAAGCTCATTTGTAAGCTGTTCAGATTTTTCTATAGATACAATGTTATGGGGCCAGAGCTTTTATAAACCTTACTTCCTTGCTAATGTAGTAACTTGTAGAGAAGATATCATCATCTTTTGTCCAAACACTTTTGTATACTTAAAGTTGAATGGGTTTCTTTTTCCCCATTTCACATATTTCAAATAAGTAAGTACATTAAAAAATACTTAGTTATGGTCATGCTTCTGATAGCTGAGTCATTCAGGACATGGTTGGGAGAAAATAGTGTAACCGGAATATGGATGAAAGACTAAGTCAGTGTGACCTCCAGTAATGAACATGGGCTGTAATACAGAAACTCTGAGGTTACCCAGTTTGGTATAACATGAGACATTGGATTAGAAGCAGGTGACACACCTAAATGAGATTAGGGGGAGAAGATACAGTGTAGAACCAGTTAATGGAGGAAGAGAGTAGCCACATGTTTCTCCATAGTCCCTGAGGAGTCACTGCATTGAATTACTGGGTAGCACAGAGCAGCGGTGATCACCCTTAACCATCAAGAAAGTGTTTGAATTAGATAAGAAAATACGAATGACATAGTGTGTGTTACATAAATGATTAGTTTTTATTTTCTTTTTTTCTCATGCTTAATGGGTAAGTTTCACTTTTCTTAGGAGAAAAACAAAACCCATTGTTTAATGCTGGATGAATGAAATGTTTTTAAATCCTTATTTTTCATTTTTCCTTTGCAGACAATACTGTCAGAGTTCAAGACACAGATTGGAAAGAAGTAGGTATTTTTAAATGTTAAGGCTAATGTCCATAACACAGAAATGACTAGTGAATTAATATATTAAGGGTATATTTTCACTTTTATATGATGTAATGAAATCTGTTTTCATTTAATTTACTGCTAAATTTCAGTAAATGAAAATGTTTTCAACTTTTACTTTAGACTCAGTCCTTATTTTCTTATAATTATATGGAAAAAATGTTAACACAATGATTATTTTTCATCTTTACTTATTGTAAAACATTCTTTTGTTGCAACAAAATTTAAATGAATTGTCTTTGTGCTGGAGTAGTCATCAGCTGTTCAGCTAGTTAAAATAGTCCCTTATGAAAAGAATATATTATACTGTTTCGTAAGGTACTATTCTAATGTCTCCATAACAGAAACTGCAAGGTAGAGCAGCAAGTGCTGATGGAGAAGCTGCTGCAAGTTATACAGAAGATGTAGCTAAAATCACTGATGAAGGTGGCTGCATTACACAACAGATTTTCAATGTAGATGAAACAGCTTTCTATTGGAAGAAGACGCCATCTATTTTATAGCTAGAGAGAAGTCAGTGCCCAGCTTCAAAGGACAGGCTGACTCTTTTTTTAGGGACTGATGCAGTTGGTGATTTCTGAAGCCAGTGCTTGTTGACCATTCTGAAAATCCTAGGGCCCTTAACAATTATGCTCACTCAGGCCTGGTGCGGTGACTCACGCCTGTAATCCCAGCACTTTGGGAGGCCGAGGCAGGCGGATCACCTGAGGTCAGGAGTTCGAGACTACCTTGGCTAACATGGTGAAACCCTGTCTCTACTAAAAATAAAGAAAATTGCCGGGTGTGGTGGTGCGCATCTGTAATCCCAGCTACTCAGGAGGCTGAGGCAGGAGAATCACTTGAACCGGGGAGGCAGAGGTTGCAGAGGTTGCAGTGAGCCAAGATCGCTCCATTGCACTCCAACCCAGGAGACAGTGCAAGACTCTGTCTCAAAAAAAAAAAAAAAA